TCACTTGCAAGATAATAATTGATATATGCTAAAACACTATTACATATACATGTGATCATGAAATCATATTGTGTTCAAAAAGCTTTTAGTTTATACTATGTGTGTATGTGTATATATCTTAGGTTTTAGTTTAGATATTTTAATTAGCATTGATTATGTTAAAATATTTTGTGCTTCCGTAATTATGTAATGAATAAGTGATACGCACTAAGTATTTAGTGCTTAAAGCATCTTTTTATTCTCTTTTAGATATGTTATTTGCTATTTAGGGAAAATTGCATCAAAATGGAACTAATTTTCACCTAATTCCTATTTTGGGGAACCAACTTTCAAAATCGTCATTTTGGGGAACTAACTTGCACTTGATTCCTATTTTGAGGAACCAACTTTCAAAATTGTCATTTTGGAGAACCAACTTGCACCTGATTCCTATTTTGGGGAACCAACTTGCAAAATAATTAAAATTCGTTTTTTTCCAAAAATTAATGCAATAAAATCTATTTTACATTTCAAATCTCATTTTTTTTTAATTCAAATATCAAATTGAACATGTATTTAAAAAATATCCAAATTACCACAATAAAAATTGTTTTTTACTAATGCAAAAAAAATCAATTTAATAGAAAAAAATTAATTGATGCAATTGATTAGATATAAAAATCTTGAATGTGATATTTAATATTTATTTTTTATTGCATCAATTAATTTTTTTCTATTAAATTGATTTTTTTTGCATTAGTAGAAAACAATTTTTATTGTGGTAATTTGGATTTTTTTTTTTAAATGTTCAATTTGATATCTGAATTAAAAAAAAACGAGATTTCAAATGAAAAATAGATTTTATTGCATTAATTTTTGGAAAAAAAACGAATTTTAGTTATTTTTCTATAATTATTTTGCAAGTTGATTCCCCAAAATGACGATTTTGAAAGTTGGTTCCCCAAAATAGGAATCAGGTGCAAGTTGATTCCCCAAAATGACGATTTTGAAAGTTGGTTTCATTTTGGTGCAATTTTCCCTTCTATTTATATCTCAATTTTGAATCATTTTATTTCTTTTCTCTATTTTTATGCTAAGAAAAATGATGAACCTGTTTTTGTTGGATAATAGACTAAACTGAACTTATTTTGGACAGATTGAAGCTGTTTGATGCTGCGGGAATGTGGCAACATGACCTGATGGTGGAGAAATAGATGGAAAAGACTAGAAGTTGACTGACAAGACCATAGGCTGACTTTTGAAAGACTTCTTAAGTTTGGACAACTGTGTATTTTTAAGATTAGCTGGAACTTGTTAAGCTAATTTAGTTGTTTGTTAACTATTAGTTTACTTTATTGTACTTTCTAGTTGCTTTAGAACTAAGCTTGTGTGAAATGTCTAAAATACCCTCATCTCATCTCTAGTATAAAAAGAGATGTTGGGTTTAGTATTGGACACACTTCTTCACTCAATTTTCCTTTACTTTTCTCTCAAGTAGGTTGTCATACTACTTGGAGAACAAGTTTCTTAATATTAAGTAATCTTTTGGCTACATTTCGAGTTTTCTTTAATCGCTTTATTTACTTACTCGTTCTTAATATTCCGTCATTTATTTATTTAATTACGCTTACTTGCATTTTATTTACATCATTTATTTATTACGTTTTCCGCATTTTATATTCCGTCATTTATATTCCGTCATTTACTTTCCGCATTTATTTTATGTCTTCATTTATCGCAATTTATTTTTCTTGTCATTTACTTTTCGTCATGAGTAGCTAAGTTTATTAGCTCGGGTGTATGACGAAAATGGTGAGTTTGTAAATCAAACTATAGTCGACCATTTTATGTAACAACGATGTTTTACTATTTCATTTCAAGTTTTATAAAACCAATTACACTTCTTGACGAGTTGATCACTGAAAAATGTTAAAGTGTCATGGACTCTAAGCTGAGCTATTGATTGCACGTCAATTTGGATGATATGGGAAGTAGATTTGAGAGAGTTACTAACAAAGAGATTTGTTATCCGTATTTTATAAATTATTAATTCTCGACAGGTTGATCACTTTGAAGTGTTAAAGTGGAATGGACTCAGAGATGAGCCATTCAGAACACATCAACTTGAATTATATGGGAATCCACTCGAGAGAGTGATTTTTAACAAAGAGATTTGTTTATCCATATATTTTGAAGACACCATTTGTCACTTTCACTGGTCTGGATACCTCATAGAGATATGGGTTTTAGGTTATAATATCAATGCATTGGTGAAGTCTGAGAGGAATACCTTCAAAATAATTGGTAAAAATAATTGTTACTGATTGTATGCTGTAGCAATTTGTCAGGATGGTCTCATGCTTTAGCATTTTGACAGCATTGGTCTATTGGAAATAGTATTTACATCTCACCCAAAAAGTCATACACCCTAACTTGCTTTTATTATATGTTATCTCCTGTTAATTTTTAGTTGTGTTAGCTCTGTTCAAATCAAAGTCTTCGAATTTGCCTTCTGAAATCAATTCCTTAACTTTACTTTCTTCTAAACTTTTACTACAATCCCTATGGACGATATTCGGTCCTTGTACCACTTTTATTACTTGAAAGACGATATTGGGACTATTTGTATACTTGCTTTTGGTCTTGATTGTAGTCTGTGGTGTGTCACTACGCCACCGGTCAATAAGGATCGCAATTATAAACATATTGTAACACTTTCAAATATGACATTTTTTGGTTTGATTCTATAAACTTAAGTCTTATAAAGTATTTTTTTTAGTATGCTTCTACATTTTTTGCGACCTATAAAATCAATTTTTCTTATAAAATAAATTTTATTCTAGTGTGCATAATTAATGCTAAGCAATCATGGTGTTTGACCATTTTACTGAGAATAGTTGACCATAGCAATAAGCCCCGTTTGAAGAGGCTCATATTTTTTAGGTATTGTTTAGCAAACAAAAACTAGCTTATAATGTTAGCTTATTTTTGTGTGCATGTTTGGATGATCATAAGCTACTTTATAAGCTAGCTTAATAAAACGCCATTTGCAGGTGTTTTCGGAGTTTATTATGACTTTTTTTTAATTATAACCCTCATTGATATTGATTATCATTTATTACTATTAATAATGAATAAATATTAATTATTAGTAAATATTAAATTAAAATAAATTACTACTATATGAATAAATATTAACTATTAACTATTAATTAATTTTA